AAGTGGAGAAAGCTGTCTTGAATATGAGGTTGGTCCTAAGAAGCCCCAAATTAAACAATCTTGGATTACCATGACCTAATAAGGACAACTAATGCTTCAGTCTTATGTTTTCTACTATGACAAACAATTAAAGGAAACTAAGGGAAAGGCGATGAGCAATTTGGGTAACTGACAATAAGTACACATAAATGGAAAGAACAAGCATCAATAGTAAACTGGAATATATTGACTAACCTATAAGATAGAATGGCAACAAGAGCGAAAAACTTGTTCCAACTATTAATTAATCATTTAGAACAAGGTGTTGTCCACAGCAAACCAATTAAATCAAAACAGGTACACAAACAGGCAGTTCTATTTTCCTACTGTTTGTAAAAGCAAAACACATTTTCATAGATTTGTGCAAACATATACTGTGAAAACTGAATGTATATTGAAAAACTGCTTATATTGAATTATACAAGAATCTTAGGTTTATATACAACTAACTAGGGTTTAAACTAGGAAACTAAATCTTCCTTAATTCTAGGAATACAAATACTTAATTCTAGAGATACAAATATAAATATACAAATTACAAGATTACAATCAGCTGTAAATAAGTGTTTTCCCACACTCCCCCTCAAGCTGATGAATAGGTGTTTTCCATTCCCAGCTTGAAAATAATTTCTTGAAATGTTGCACTGCTGAGACCTTTAGTCAACACATCTGCAAGTTGACCCTTGGTTGATACATAAGGTGTACAAATCAACCTACTGTCTAGTTTCTCCTTTATGAAATGCCGGTCTACTTCAATGTGTTTTGTTCTGTCATGTTGCACAGGATTGTGTGCAATGCTTATTGCAGATTTGTTATCACAGTAGAGTCTCATTGGTCCATCTCACTTGATCTTCAAGTCTTCTAGGATAATCTTTAACCATAGTAGTTCACAAATTCCTTGAGCCATTGCTCTGCACTCTGCTTCAGCACTTGATCTTGCCACCACATTCTGTTTTTTACTCCTTCAAGTCACAAGATTGCCACCTAAGAAAGTGCAGTAGCCTGAGGTGGATCTTCTATCAGTTACTGAACCTGCATAATCCGCATCTGTATATGCTTCTAGAACTAACCCCGAATTTCTTTTGAATAAAATACCTCTCCCAGGATTGGCCTTCAAATAGTGCAATATACGGTAGACAGCCTGTAGGTGCACTTCTTTAGGACTATGCATAAAATGACTTACCACACTCACAGCATATGCTATATCAGGTTTAGTATGTGAGAGATAAATGAGTCTTCCAACTAATCTTTGGTACATCTCTCTATTTACAGCAGCATCTTCATTAGCTTCTCCAATTTTATGATTAAGATCTATAGGGGTATTTGCAGGTTTACATACAAGCTTCCCAGTTTCCTTCAGAAGATCCATCACATATTTCTGTTGTGAGATAAAAATACCATGCCGTGAATGAGCTACTTCAATTCCTAGAAAGTACTTCAATCTCCTAGCTCTTTTATCTCAAATTCTCTAGCCAAACATTGTTTTAGAGATTCTCTCTCTTTTTCATCATCTCCAATTACAATTATATCATCAACATACATTAATAGAACTGTGACTCTCCCTGAATCAGAGTGCTTGATAAACAATGTGTGATCTCCTTGACTCTGTTTATATCTCATTGCTAGCATCACTTTGACAAATCTCCCGAACCAAGCTCTAGGAGACTGTTTAAGGCCATATAAAGCCTTTTTTAGCCTGCATACTTTGTTTGCTTCTAGTAACCTCCAAATCCTAGTGAAACCTTTATATATATTTCTTCTTCCAAATCACCATGTAGAAAAGCATTCTTTACATCAAATTGTTGAAGCTGCCAATTATAATTTGCAGCCAATGATAACAAAATCCTAACTATATTCATCTTGGCAACTGAAACAAAGGTTTCCTGGTAATCCACTCCATAGGTTTGAGTGTAGCCCTTAGCCACTAACCTGGCTTTATACCTTTCAACAGTACCATCTGCCTTGTATTTTACAGTGAAAATCCATTTACACCCCACTGGATTTTTTTCTTTAGGCAACTCTACCAGTTCCCATGTCTGATTTTTCTCTAAGGCCTCCATTTCTATTTTCATGACTTGTCTCCATTTCTCACTGAATAATGCCTCAGATAATGTAGTTGGAACAGAAATAGTGTTTAGGCTCACAAGAAAATTTTTGTGGGATGGTGAGAATTTTTCAAATGACATAAAATTAGATATTGGGCATAGTGGATGCTTGGTACATTCTCTGGTTCCTTTCCTAATGGCAATAGGCAAATCATAATCACTAGTTATAGTTTTAGGAGATTCATGCTCATTTTGAGAAACAGAGTCAAAAACTGTAGTTACCTCATTTCCAGAGTTAGGATCAGGTTCTTGGACTGGCATTGGTTCAGGATCTGAAACTTTCCTTCTTGAGTACACCTGTAATTCCTTCATAGAATCAAGAACAATATTATCCTTTGTCATATCTTCCGTATTTGGAATGGGTTCAGACTCAAATTCAGTGTTTGACTTGGGCTCAGCAGAAACAAATTTCGACTCAAAGAATTAATGGGTGTAAATGTTGAAGAAGGGGGTAAATCAAGCAAAAAGAAGTCTTTATCCTTATCTTCCATGAATGAAATCTCCCCCTGAAGATAAAGTTGAGTAAAAAATGGTTTATTTTCTTCAAAAGTGACATCTGCAGACATATAAAATTTTTTGGTAGGAGTATGATAGCCCTTATATCCTTTTTGAGTTGAAGAATACCCCACAAAAATACACTTAATCACTCTTGGATCCAACTTTTCCCTGTTATGACTGTAAACATGAACAAATGATGTACAACCAAATATCTTAGGTGTGAGATTATTTGTGGTATTGAGGTTGGGATAAAATTGTGAGAGTAGTTCCATAGGAGTTTTAAATCCCAAAACTCTTGAAGGTAATGTGTGTGGCAGTGAGAACAGCTTTCCCCCAATAAGATTTAGGTACATTTGCTTAAAAAAGAAAAGCTCGGGTTATGGCTAGTAAATGGCTATTTTTCCTCTCTGCCACTCCATTCTGCTGTGGAGTATTAACACAAGATGACTCATGGATAATCCCCTCTTTTTGAAAATAGGTGGATAGACTCTGGTTGAAGTAGTCTCTTGCATTATCAAACCTAAATCTCTTGATTCTCACTCTAAATTGATTTTGGATCATGTTTTGGAAGCTTAAAAACACACTATTCACATCTGATTTGGATTTAAGTAAAAAAACCCAAGAGACCCTAGTACAATCATCTATGAATGAAACAAACCATCTTGCACCAGAAATATTAAGAATTATAGAAAGACCCCAAATGTCACTATGAATCAAGTAAAAGGGAGTAGAACTTCTTTTGTTACTAATTGGAAAAAACACACGTCTATGTTTTGCAAATTCGCAAATATCACAATGAAAATCTTCAACATTTAATCCTTTGAACAAAGAAGGAAACATGTTTCTCAAGGTTCCAAAAGAAGGATGTCCAAGACGAAAATGATAAAGCCAGATTTTGTCTTTATTGGAAGATTTTTCAAAAAAAAATGACAAAGGTAAACTATTTTTTATACTACTTGTATTATTTGATGTCTCAAGATAGTATAGTCCATCCTTTTCCTTAGCAAGTCCAATCATCTTCCCCGAACTCTGGTCCTGAAATTCACAATATGAAGGATAAAAAGTTACTTTGCAATTCATATCTCTGATAAGTTTTTTTATAGATATCAGATTAATAGACAATCCAGGAACATGAAGATCATTTTTTAGAACAAACAAGGGATTAACTTGAACATCTACTAATCCTGCCACTGTGGTAAGTGAACCATCAGCAACAACAATTTTCTTATTACTAGGACACAGGTTATACGTACCAAACTTTTGTGAGGAATGTGTCATGTGGTCTGTGGCACCTGAGTCAATAACCCAAAAACTCGTAATAGGCTTAGCCGAGACATTTAATCCATGAGAACCGAAAGCTTTACCTGAACTAGAAACTCTACCCAAAGAACATACCATAGTAGGCTTTTCAAGGATTTTCAATAAGTTTCTCAACTTTTCAATCTCTTCCCTGTTGAACTCTCCTTGTTTCTGAGACATCTATAGTACTCCAGTGATTTTCTTAGTTAACATTTCCTCAAATTGGGTGGTAGTGATATCTTTCTTTGAAAGGGTTCGGCAATGAAGGCCTAAACAAGATTTGGCAATGAAGGCCTAAAAAAGTCAGCAATGAAGGCTGAAAATTTTGCTTCCCAAGAAGAGCCAAAAGCTCTGATACCATGTGGAAACTGAATGTATATTGAAAAACTGCTTATATTGAACTATACAAGAATCTTAGGTTTATATACAACTAACTAGGGGTTAAACTAGGAAACTAAATCTTCCTCAATTCTAGGGATACAAATACTTAATTCTAGAGATACAAATATAAATATACAGATTACAAGATTACAATCAGCTGTAAATAAGTGTTTTCCCACATATACAAACTTTAGTTACCATGTATTTAAGTTGTTTACCATTTATGGGTGCAGGTAAAGCTTCTCGAAAATCAAATCGGCTGAACTCTCCAGGTTTATTTGGCATTGCAATATCATAGAATGCTCCTTCCATTGCAGCCAATCATTGATGCCAAGTTCTCCAAACAAGTTTTGCACATTTGGGTAAGCTCCAACTTGCCAAAAGAAAAGAATAAATAAATAAAAAAGATGTTGAAATGTATCAGATAGTTCGGCACAATAAAACAGTCAGGAGATGAAGAAGAAAACAATAGGTGGAAATATTGTCCAAAATTTCCACAAACCTATGTCTTTACAACTTTCAAGTACTAAAAAGGAGGATGATAAAATAAAACAAAATAAAGAATCAAATCAATTACTGAACATGAAATTTCAAATACAAGGGTAGATCCTTCAAAAATGTAACGAGGAAGACCAGATGGGGAAGGCTGAGAAAACAAAAAAATGTATCTATACTTACAGAATATATGTAGGCCTGTCTCATACCAATCTCCATCATCATCTCTCCATGCAGCCACCTGTTTAAAATAAGACCAAACTCTAATCTCTCACAGAAGACAAGGATAAGGGAAAAGAACACCTTAAACCACATAGGTATGCATACCATGGCAAAAGCTTAAAATTTTTACAAGAAGCCATTTAAAGGTATTTTAATTGATAAAAAATCATCAATTTAGTTTAAACCAAAAGTTCTTTTTTTTTCTTTTGCATGCGACTGGAGGCTTGAGAAAAGACATTATCCACAGAAACTCAAGTTAGTCATTAATGCAGTTTAGTTTCACATGGTAAACATTATTTAATTTATGCTGCATGCCATAATTCAGCAAAATAACTAAAGCTTCCTTGAATAAATCTTGCAGTTAAAATTGTGTTGTCTTCATCAAAGATGAAGTGTAAGATATCTCCTCATATTATGCGCAATAAGATTTTAGAAACGAGAAGATGATACAATAATATAATAGGTGTAAATTTCTATGAAAAATAGTGCCAAAACCTTTCCACCTAGAACATCTCTTGCTTCTAATAACAGAGGTTTGTGACCTGCATCCGCTAAATACTTTCCAGTTGACAAACCAGCCAAACCTGCAAAAATTCAAAAGTGGCAAGTCTAGTCTAGTAGCAAAAACAAACTCAAGTGATGGATCATACATTAAATCTAGAACCCTGTAATGAACTAAGATGTCATTCATAAGACTAATTCCCAAAAAGAAATACATGGCAAAGGCATGCAGAAAACACAAAAGGAACAAAATTTTAGGTATTACACCAATATCAACCCAAGGCCAAAGGGCTATATTTACATTCTAGCAATAGCTTTTAAGCAAGCAGATTCTTCTTTATCTATCAAACAAAAGCATATTCATACTTGAAAGTTAACCCTTGGAATTAGTAAAAAGAAACAAACAACATGTTTACATTCACAGACTCCTATGACAGAAGAATACCAAATTATTACCTAATATTCTGCATGCAAACCATCCAATTTCTCACAAAGTACAGGCCCTAAATTGGCACAGCCTTTAATAAAACTAGATATTGGTCACTATCATGCAAATTAAAATGTTAAAAATAGAACATTTGAACACAAATCACAATCCAAATGACGAGTACTGAGACTCTCGGACTGGAAAATGTTAATAAATTTAGCTAAAAACCAAGGCAGATGAAGGTCATAGGCAAAAATTCAGTTCATCCGATGGAAAAAATAAAAAATAAAAATAAAAATTTAAGAAATTTAGCTACAGCAAAGGCACAAAGAAGCCACCAAAAATTCAAAAGGTATAGAAAATGGATTTCCTAAAGGACAAAGAAAACAAATATCAGAATTAAGAGAAAATTCATTCCTGCACCAGCAATTATGACTTTCAATGGCTTAACTGGACGGGGAGCAGAATGAAAAGAAGCAGAAAAAGAAGCAGCCTCCAAAAATTAACAGTACTCTCAAGCTCTGGTCTTAGATAATCTATGCAAACTACCTGGCTCATAATAATAAAACAAGTAACTATTATTCATCTCACTATTACAAAAGGGTAAGGTTATCCAAACATTCATCAACACCAACCAACCTGCAAAGGACAAGCACCCTTACTTGACATCTTTTTAAAGGGAATTCTCAAGGTATTTCCCATGGATTCACCACTTCTAAAAGCTAAGACACTTCCCATGCTTATTGAATTGCTTTTAAAGTTTAAGTGCACAGCAGCAACACTGCCACAGAGACTCATTTTCTTCAAAACCAATAACCCAAAGTTCAGATCTTTATGACCCAATTCAACTGCAGCTGTTGCAAATAAGCAAAAACAAGAACTGGTTAATTGTAGTTTATCAACATGAAGAAGAAGAACACATAAAACTATCATAAACAGAAAGCAAAATAAACCCTTTTTTGCCTTTACAAATCCAAGCACAAAAAAAAAAAAAAAACTACTTGCTTCAAAAAGAGGAGAAAAGGGTGTTGAGATGCAAATTGAACACCACCAAAGCAAACCCAGAGAAGGAGTAGATTGAATTACAGAAAAGGTTACTAAAATACTTGACTTGCCTTAGTAATAGAAACTTAGAAGTTAGAAAGCGGGATATGGACAGCGAGCTAGGACAGCCAGAGGAAGTGGTGGAAGTGACATTAACGTGTACTAGTATTTTTAAGGCTTGAGAGTTCGGGTTTGGCCTAACCGAAATACAGGTAAACATGACATAAATCATACAAATCGCTTGCTTTTGGCGGATTGCTATTTTTGGGGCTGGTTGCTGTTTCAGGAATATTCTGCAACATTTTGTCTCTATTTTCTTTAGCATATAGATGTAGTTCTACCAAATACTAATGAGTACTTTTGTATTTATTATTTTATATTTCTTATTATTCTAAAAATCAAACATATAAATAATAAGAGTTCATTTAATTAGGCTCACATATGCTGAATTAATTTTTGAACATTTTAAGTTTAAGAAAAGTTATACGTGCAATATACTCCATAAATGAGTTAAATAAATAAAAAATCAAAACCTTTTTATTTCTCATAATCAATTTTTCTCAAACTAATTATGAATAATATTTTTGTATTGTTTTATAATTATTCCTTTAATATTCTAATAAATGATATTTTCGGAAGTAAACCATTAAATAACATTCTATTCCTATTAAAATTGATTATATTTTCATGATCATTTCATAATTTTACTTCATCATTCTATTCCAGGAATCAAACATTCGTTTTCTATATTAAAATAGCAAAGTTGAATTTATTGTTTCAAGTTACTGTATCTCTTAACATAAAATTTTCATTGCATTTATACATGACCGCCATGATTTTGTTCTCCAGCTGCTGCCTTAGCTATAGCATTGCTAACTTAGCTCTTCTGGTAATTCCCAAGCTCATCATCAATTATACAGACCATTCCTCAAATGCAGTTATAGCTCTTTACCAAGAAAAAGAAATCCAGTTATAGCTCAAATCATACAGACCATTTATCCAGCTAACTTGAAAGGAAAAGTTTATAGAAAATAAGTTTCAAAAATCTCTGAAACTCATTTTAGGGTCAACCCTTTTTCCAGCTGCACGTCCCCTTCCCCTATACCCGCCTCTGCTCGTTCCTCTTCCTCTTGCACCGAAGCCTCTGTTAAATGATTTACCATGCTTCACCTCCACAAGGGAATGAAGCAGCTCATCACAAAGAATGCAACCAGTATGCAATGTAGCTCCATCTTCCAAAGGAGTTGTTTTCTTATTAAAGTCTACCTCTATGATTGTGGAGTCACATTCAGCACAGCGTTCTCGGGTAGTAGCAATCCGGTGAGCACCCTCAGGGAGTAAGACAAGGCAGTTGCATTTATTGCAATAAAGTCTCCATTTCGGAGCACTTACTGGGTCTAAAACAAGGGTTCCACTGCATTCGGGGCAAGCACAGACTCCCTGTGCCACCAGAGAATGTCGGCATGTGGGATGTGGGCAGAGGAAGCATGGCATGCCTGCTCCCTTCCCCAACTTCCCTGTACTACCTATCTTTGTGGAACCAAAGAGAGTGTCTATTCCTTCGAATGGAGGACTATTATAGCAATATGGGCAGAGAGGGAATGACTTGCCTTCCGGACCAGGCATGGAGAAGATCAAAAGCTCGAAATTATCCAAAGGACATGTAAGTTCTTTGTACAGCTGTAGAAAAATTAAAATGTCACAACAGGCGGTGTTAAAGTGCAGCCATTGATACAGATATGCTGACAAGGGAATGCTGCCCCCTCCCAACCCCCCCTTTGGGGCTTTTCCAACCATCAACTTTCAAAACAACTCATAAGATCCAAAAGATTGCCACATATTGAGTACTATCATCCGTGCAATTTTTACAGCACATCAAGCTATTGAATGAAGTAGATGCATGCCATTGAAAAGCATTTGCAGCATAAGTTTCAATTGACTCTAATTTTCTTCAAGATTAATTCTTTAAAAACACATCGAACAAAAATCACTATTCCTACACTCAGGGTATCAGCATGGCTAGAGATGACAACTTATTTACATCCAGTCAGGTCCCCAGGTTGCCCCAACCTCAATTCAGATAGGTTTCTTTACAAGAGCAAGAAGAGAAAGAAGTGGAATCAGCCACCTAAAGTTTTTACATATTACTCCTTCCGTCCCATTTTGTTTATCCTTGCTTAACTTTTTTGATAAGACAAACTCAACTTTGACCATTTTTTTTAAATATGTTGAATTAAAAATTTTTATAAATGTTTTGAAATTTTTGAAATTCAAAATTTGTAAATCTTATTTTTTAAAAATTTACTAAAATTTTATTATTTTACTAAAAATAATAATCAAACTTGAATTAGTTTGACATACATAATAGGATGGATGGAGTAATAGATTCTAGGATTGATCGAAGGACAGGAGGAAATGAAAGAAAAAAAAAAGGTGGGTGGGGGGAGAAGAAAATGGCAAGCTAAGGAAACAGATTTATCAGAGTGCTTAACTACTTTTCCTTCGAATCCATGGATTTTGCAAAGACACAAGAAGTTATGTACGGCTTATATGCAAGGTACAACATTCCATATGATAATTGTTCCACTAAAACTATGAATTTTGCAAAAGGTCCAGCATTTTGGTATTACCTTGATTGTTCCCTTTTGAGGAAGGTAGTAAACCTCCTCACATGTGCCACAAAACAAACGTTGTGGTTGTGTAGAGATGTACTTCATGTACCGCAAACATTTACCACATTTACTAAGAGCACGTCCTGAGTCAGATAGTGGGGAGAATTGGGCTTCAAACAAGGCATCCATGTTCTCAATCTGGAAAAAGAAGGGGGAGTTAAGTGATAAACAAATAATTCCAAGCTATAATATCTAAAAGAAATCATAAGAACAAGTCGAATCTTCATCCATGAAATGTATACACATGAGCATCCAGAAAAGTGGGTATGTGGTAACAACAGCAACAATAAAACTTACTAACATTGAGCTATATTTAGAACCATCTATTGGGTAAGACTACTAGAAATAAGTTCTATGGTAAGCAACCCAAATCAAATGACAAACCGAAAACTTACCACAATTGTTCTATGCTTTTCATGTACTTTATCCAAGATGCTGTTTAAGCATGCAAGTACAACATATAGTTCTCTAACCTGCTGAATAAAATAACTGAATTTTTGCTTGAATTGCTGTAGTACGTGCTGCACAACATAAGAATGATTTGCCTGACCCTTAGCAACCAAAGTAATCTGATGCTCAATGAAACTGCGAATGTCTGGCAAACAAAGATCTGGATCAATGCATTGATAGCCTCGTATCAGTGTTATGCCTAAAGTAGTTGGAACCAACTTCCTACCAACTTGTACCTGCATTTTAAGTAAGAATGAAATATCCATCTCATACAAAGATAACATTTTGCATACAAAAGCTACATATCACAAGGATAAACTTAAATTTTTTGAATAAGAATTTATAAACCTGCACATAGTTCCGCTCACATATGTTGTTTATATGCACAGGTATTGATGCATCTGTGCCTATTCCGTTCCTCTCCATCAGAGAAATGAGCTCACTCTCACTGAGATAATCAGGGGGTGAAGTCTCACCCTAAACAATTTAGAAAATCGGGCATCAGGAACAATATTTGGACACTTGATGATTCATTAAATGGAGGTGAATATTTATTTACCTCATATAACTCCACTTTTGAAACTTCAATTTTCTCCCCTTTTGTAAACTGAGGAAGATTTTTCTCATTTATGGCCAACCATGGCATAATATATGTAAATCCTTGTGTCGTGACGTGCTGCCCAATGCAATGGAAGAATTCTCCACCAACTGAAAATTCTACTTTTGTCCTGAAATAGACACCAATAATAAATTTTATAAAAGAAAAGAGAAACTACTACTGCGTAATTAACCAATAATATATAGTCTAAAATCAAAAAGTTTCACTGAGCAAATAAAAAGTAAGAGAATCATGGCAAAACAACAACAACAACAACAAACATTACTTTTTCCACCAGGTGAGATCAGAACCATAGATCACACTGCACTATGGTGCTGTAATTAGAACCATACCATCAAGAAGCTCAACAAAAACAAGGCCCTTCTCAGTAGCCTGCCCACCTACCCACACCTTCCCAACCCACTGACCACCTAAGTCTTTTTTGGTCTTGCCCCCTTTTGACATGATCCATTAAGTAACAACCTAGGCATTCTATATTGAAGTTCACGTATGTTAAAGCATCAAACAATGTCATTCAATTATATGAGATATCCTTCCCACCATCATAATTTGAACGTGATATGGAGCATCTAAGTATTATAAAAGCAAGTTGCAAACACAAAAAGTGTGCAGCCATATGCCATCAAGGTCACACCTTTTACCAAAGTAGAAGATGAGAAACTGCGGGAAAATAACTAAACTAAATAAACAAGAGTATTAAGCATTAGGCTATTACCTCACATATTTGCAGTCAGGAGACACAGTTCCTATAAAATGTTGACAGACATACTGATACAATCTCCAAGCATCGCTTCCAAGAATATCCTCAGTTGCTGGTCGCATTGGAGTTATAGGAGGATGATCACCAGCATCTGTTCCTGAGCGTGGTTTATGATAACCTTCAGCAAGCAGTCTTTGGACATAGTCACTCCACAGTGGATTGTTTTCTAGTACCTTAAGTGTGCTTTTGAAGTCAAACGATGAAGGATATGCTGTACTTTCGGTTCGTGGATAGCTAAACCGCCAAAATTCCAAAAAGAAAATAGAAAAAAAATTACTACTGAAAACAATAATGAAAATATCAAATAGTATGCTATTATATGTGAAGTATAAAGCAACACTGTAGCAAATTATCACAAGTCTCATTCTTAACCATCCTTATTAGAACCAGGATTTGCAATTAATGAATCTGAACAATAATCCTTAATTTCCATGGCTCAAGGATTTAAATTATCAATTAAGGAAGCAATTGCAAATATCAGGTACATAAAGACCAATCACATATAATTTTTAATTGATTATTGTATAGTATAACAATACAAGAAAAATATGCATGTATGTATGTGTGTATTGTACACTTCCATCACAGGGACACAACACCCCTCCAACACACACACACAACTCTTCCTCTCTCCCCACCACCCTAAAAAGAAAAAATGATCCAGAGCAAATCCTCTTATGTTCACCACAAAACAGAGTTTAGAACTGAACTTTAATCATCAAAATAAAGATAAAAGCAACAACAAAAGTACTAAATCATCCAGCTTATCATTTCTAGTAGAAACCTTTGTGTAGAAAATTTCCCAATAGCTAAACAAACTTCATGTCAAGTCTAGGTAAAACTAATACCAATCCTTTAAAAACAAAAGGAGTCATGTGAATAACTAGCTCTTTAGCAACAATAACATCAGTTCCAGAGACCCAACAGGTCAGCAAAACTAACTAGATAATCTGATGGCATCTTTAACTGATTGTAACGAAAGTTATTTTAATATTCGACAAACTTATTTATGTCCAGCTGATGTAGAACAAGGAAGAGATATCAGAGAAGAAAACAGGGGAAGTAGAGGGAAAGATAGAAAAAAATAGGGGACAGGAACTAGAGAGAAACAAGGGAAAAGAACAAGTAGGGAAATTCTAACAGCCCGACTGTGAATAGTCCATCATACCAAAAGCAATAGCCAACAGGAAGCTTAAATAAAACCCTTATAGATTACTCTCTCAACCCAAATCCTTAGTAAATAAGTAAAAACTAATTAAGCAAAAATACATGTAACCTATACTTCAGCCAAGAAAATATAAAGTAACCTAATTAGTCCCTAAATTATTAAATAATCTATGTAAATCTTATTGCTATGCATTATCAGCATCGAGTATTAAGTTATTTATGATATTTCTTTTGACTGGCTTTTGTTTCACACATTTTCAAATGCATTATCCAATGCGTAGAATATGAAACAGGAGGATACATGTATCATTGAGCCAAATGCTTAGGTACACATTAAAAATGATTTAGTACTCAACTTGTTTAACTGATCCTCCAAAGTTTATTTAAAGACCCCAAAAATAGGATTAGGTGGCATTAAGCTGCCAATATTGAAGACATTTGGCTGGTACAGAAAACATTGTGCTAGGGTCACATAGTAGCACTTATCCAAGAATATTGGTAGAGAATCTATATGCTTTTTCATCATAACAAATTGCAATGGGATAACAGAATTAGTACAGAAAGATACAAAGAAACTAATTGTAATCCAAAACAGTGAGAGAAAAGGACCTTATGAAACCTTGTGTATATAAGCGTTCAGCAATTTGCATGGCCGTCTGAGGTCCAAAGCCTAATGCACTTGAAGCAACCTGAACAAAGTTAAGAGGGTTATCATGATATATTTTGTTAACTTATGGTATTTAGAAACTAAAGTATGTAAGATTTTTCAAAATTGACTTGCATAGGTCCAAAAGGTTGGGGTTACAAATTTGAAAATTCAATCATTTTAACATGAAAGCTATTTTCAGGACCAGCAAAAGCAAAGGCTGATAGACCTGCTTTTGGCCATTATTCACTTTTGTGCCCTATTTAGTTTCTTTTTTCTTTTTTTTAAATTAACAATTTGTGTCAATTTTGGACAGTTTATCTCAAACAAACACTTTCATCATAGCAATGTCAAATGCCCATATTGCAACCACAATTTTCCACCATGCCTTTCAAACTACATTTTTCACCATGATTTTCAACCACAACAGCAATATCAAACTAGGAGTTAAAGTTGTCAAACAGTAAATTCAGCAAGATTAACTTTTCCATACGGAATCGGCCATGCAACAATAGAACATCTTACAAAAAGAATGTTATATAATTGAAAGCAATCTGATGTATTAACTCCTCTTTTCCTTGTTGGATACATCAATAGGCTATTCAGGTAACAACTAGCCATGCCAAGCAAAGATTTCATACCCATCCATGGTCCACCCATCATGTCCAAAGTAATATATAGTTCTTTTAAGCAGCTATTCGAGAATCAAGAACAAATTAATTTTCATAAGTAAAATATTAGAAAAAGTGATTCATAATTCTTCTAACCTTCAAAAGATTCACTGTGTTGAGACCAGAAGGTCGACCTTTGCTTTCCTGTTTTTCTGATACATCAATTACTTCAAGAATTCCATCCTCTGTCACCAACTTTTGGAACATTGTTGCAACCTGAAAATATATGGAAAAGCATGAATTAGCATAGCTCATTAAAACTAAAAGAGCAACATCAATAAATGTTTATGTTAGTAGGGCTCACATCTAAGTCAAACAACTTTTGACGTTTCCATTCTAGATGAAGCTCATAACCATTCTGAATAATATAGGGACGTAATGCCCAAAACTTTTCAGGCTTAAAAGTATTAATTTGCAAATATCGCTGCACACAAAACCCAAGTGTAGGGGTTTGACATGGTCCATAGCTGAAATAAGCAATTAATTAGCAGATTAAATAGTTGCGCCCGAGCTGAAAATAAACAAAACCATTTTTATGAAATAGTCAGAATAACTCTAGAGAATGAGAATGAATTAAGAGCAAAAAATCAACATTGCCTAGGCTAAAAGTAAAAGGTAAAGCTAAAAGCATAAAATTATGTCGGCAGACAAGTAAGGCCCTAAACTTTCATATAGTTGGTTAGAAAGAGAAACCTAGAGATGAAGCTCACTAGATCAATATCCAGAAAACAAAATTGTGAATAAGCAAAGGTAAAAACACCACCAAGAATGACATGCCAGCATGCATGGCATATGATATCGTAAATCAATCAAGCTTGAGTTTAAAATAGACGCTTTTGATGATGAAGCATATTAAAGCAACAATTGTTAATTAATGGTCAAAGAAACATGGGTGACAGCTGAAAGAAAAATTAACAATACAACATATAAGAAGGGGATATGAGAAGATAGAACATAGGAATGACATACCGGACCCTACCACTCAGAGACTGTATAGTTAATTAAGTTATCAAACTAGCAAGGGTACAAACCTAGTGCAACAATGAATTTCAATGTCAGTAGAATATTATTGCCAACACAACTACAATGTAACCTAGACTCCTGGTATAAGCATATGAGAATTGCACAAACTTCCCACATCCTTGATAAGGATATCATAATTATGCAAATAAATGCAACAGAAACAAAGGATGCATGAAAACCCCAAAGAAAAATGCATAATGAACTACAAAATGCTAGGGAAGAGAGATGAAAGAACCAACGAGATAACCCTGGAGTCAAGATTCCCATATTTTCCTTGAAAATAACTAGTTTGAAATCGGGTAAATGCAACACCAACTTTCAAATCTATCTCTTGCCGAGCATCCACAGCCAGTGCCTCGTGTCTGTTCGGTTCCACTAGATTGTCCATAGCCTTCAAGATGTCTTTCTCGGTCACAGAAGAAAACCTAGCACGATAAACCCTTTTCTTTGCCTCATTCATGGGAAATCCCGTACACTCAATGACTGCAAGAAATTTATAGTGATAATAACAATTAAAATGAGAAAACATGTAAATCTGTAATTTAGAAAAGATCTACATATAATTTCAAGCACGTAACTAAATAGGGGGACTATATGAAAGAGAATAGTATGTATTTAAATAATTTTCAAATTTATTAAAAAAGAAATCGTAAGAAAAATGGCCAATGAAGAGCTGAACCTGAGTACAGCAGAAATGACTTCAGATGCTTTAAAACAAAAGCTATTAATTGGAATTGATGGTTACAATATTCTGAGAGGTTGAGAGTAAAGCAACATTCCAATTTATTTCAGATTAGATTACCTTTCAAGACATTCCAAAGGTTAAAGTTCAGAAGTTTGGAACCCTATTGAAGGAGGCTACATCACCTATTCAGAGTAATGCCTTATAGAATCACAATTGGGAAACAAATATAACTTTTTTTCTCTCTTTTTGCTCATCAAAGAATCAAAGCAATTATAAAACAGTAATGCAGATTCATTTACATGGAATAAAAAATGGAACCATTTATCCTGTCACAAATTTGCTTAATCATTTGATAAGTTCATGGAGCAACATGTATTGATGCTTCACAGTGATGTACATAGAACCATAAAAAGCGGAAAAAAAATATACCTTCAAAACAAATGTTTTCTCCTTCACGATCACAATCCAACCATAATACCAAATGACCACAACCACGAGCCTCTTGACTTAAATGTCTAGAAATATGGGCCTGATTACCCCAAAAATATATCAGAAATTTATATTTGAAAAGGAATTATAGCTTAGACTATTACATCAGAACAAGGAGTTATACATACTCATACACCAAGAAATAAAATGCAGATTTGATCACAATGTGATAGGGAGGCAAAACTTGTATTTATCTACCAACTCCAGCAGTCACAGTTCATTGTCACTAGTGCAGGTTGGTGAGTTTAAGTTGGTCAACATTCCATGTTAAACTACAGCAATATCCTCATGAACATGAATTTTGGAGAACTAAAGTATGAAATTATTTTACAACTGCAACTTAATTAAGTACAAAATTTCATTCATTCCTTGAGTGCATAAGGCAAATATATCTGATAATTATCAACTAATTTATGAATTTGCATAGGCATTTCCACTGCAGGAAGAGAGACAGCTCTTAATATCATCATTAAATAGCTGGCATACATCCCAGAATTCAGACAGATTTGTCAACTACTGCCATCACCCACAGAACTTAGTTGGGAGATTATGATAACAGAAACACAATTGCTTCAGTAATACAATGTTGACTCAAAAAAATCACTAAAAAGAATGAAAATGGAAAAATTATAGAAGAACTATAAACTGATAGGAAGCCACATAGACAATATATACCTTTGGGTTTGATTCTGTCTTGATAACTGATGCTTGAAATAGGTCTAGAGGATTAGTGGCATTCCAGTCTTGATAAGAAGCTGGAAAATCTACACTAGATTTGCACAAGAGAAAAAAAAAAAGGAAAAAACATTATAATGAGAAATCAAGCTAATAAGTTATAAAGGATAAAGCTATGGCAGGTAAACACAGCAAGTACCAAATTAAATTAGCAGTTTGCTAATATCTTCTACTAAGCCATTTTGTCGTTATAGAGGTAAAATTGCAATGTTGCTTATGCTAAAGTTCAATGTAAATATATATTTAATATATTCTTTCCTGAATGAAGAGACAACTTTATGTATGTCTTTCCCTATCAAAAATATTAATCCATAATTTGAACAATATTTTTCTAACTAGAACATATCAGCATTATAGGCACCTAAATACAACAAATCCTCAAGTAGTAGAGCTAAGCATAAAAAAAGAACCAAAAAAAATGATCACATTTTTTTTCAATATCAAAAGGAATAAGGACCTGAAAATGTCCAATAACTGAAGTCACTTTGAAATGAGCATGAAAGCCAAGAAAAGGCCATTGAACTCATGGACATCTGTACTGCCCCTCCTTGTCGTCATCTGACAAACGTAATACAACTTGTAAGTAACTAACAAGTATTCAATATTGAAAACTGAAAATTTGTCATGGAATTCACTAAAAGGACAATTGTGCATGAACCAAAACATGAAAATGCTTCACGATTAGTTCTAAAATGAAATTGATATAACAAAGAGAATGGAAAAGAAGGGGGATTCAGCATTGTCTCCAACACATAACCACACTATGCGTGTAATTTGGTAACTGCAAAAGGTGTTACTTCAACTAAATGTTATGTTAGACCAAATCAAGACCAACAAAGGGGTACTAAATTTTCCAAACAGATTACCGTTTATTCAGTACAGAAGCCATTACAAAGGTAGTTTAAGAAATAAAAAGAAAAAGGAGAATCAAACCAAAAAGAGAAAAAAAACTTACTAGGACGAACCAAGCATTAAAATTTTGAATTGCTATAATTCAAATCTAGCCAAATCCAACCTTTTCTTCAGAGACATTCTAATTTATATACACTTTTTTATTTGAAAGATTAATAAAGTTCAAGACTTTTTTGATACAGTTCAAGACTTTTTTGACACAATGATGCTGCAGCCTAGCCATAGGAGACTAGGAGAAGGGGTTGCAAGTACTGAGATTTAAATCCCAGATATGGTAGAAACTACCTCTTAAGAGTGATTACATGAATCTGAGCTAAACCCAAATTCATAAAGTTCAAGACTTTGCAGTAACTTGAGTAGCTTAAAATAAACATTAATTGAAGCAATTAATGTTTCATAAACGTTGAAAGATTTTTTTTCTCTAAAATTCTTTTTTTTTTTTTAGCAATGTCTGCTTTCACCTTGTTTTGGCACATAGATAGTCATAAAGCCAATGGTCAATAACATCAATAACGCAAAGATGAATCTTTTTAAGGTTTAAAATGTAAAAAATTAAAATTTTCAAAGTAAAAAATTGCAATACCAACAAAGCTACGAGGGCTTTTCTCAAAATAAGAGAGAGTTTAAGCATACTTGGCCATGAGAGAGTACAGAAGCAATGGAGAGAGCGATGCTAGGCTTCTCCGCAACCTGCAAAAACAGTGAGAAAATCAACTTAAAAACGAAGAAAATTATTTTATATTTAATTTAAATAAAAAAAAGAATAAGAAATTGAAATTTTTAAAAGGGTTTGTTTGATTGTTTACCATGAGAACTTTGGGAGGAGGAGACATTTTTCCAATTTCCAGTTCCACTTTTCTTTCTGGGGTTTTGGCTTGTTGCTTCAATTAACATACCTGGGAAGTAAAACGACTCAGTTTTGAGTTAAACGACATCTGGTCTTCCCCGGTCTCTCTTTTCCATTTTTTTTTTCTTTTTCTAATAAGAAAATAGAACTTCTATTTACACCTCATATCATTCACTAATTATAACCTAAATTTAAACTCGAAACCAAATATTTAACCTTTTGAGAATCGAAGCTTTTAAATACACCTCAAAAAGTTACTTATAAGTGCACCCTATTTTTTTTACCAATATTTTTTAAATTAAATAAAATTATTTAATTATCTTTTTATTTTTTAATTTTAAAGATTTCGAATATACATATTCGATAAATTTTATAATTCATCAGGTATATGCACATTTAATAAATTATATGATTTATTAAATTTTAATATCTGATAAATTTATTTAAAGTTTAAAAAATCAATTAAAAAATTTTCATATCTTTAAAAATTTTTATAAGTTTAACTAGAACATATTTATAAGTTTGTATTTTTATAAGTTCCTAAAAACTTAGAGAAATGAAAATCTATAAAGCCTTTTAAATTTATAAAAAAAATCCATAAAACCTTTTTAATTTATGAAAATTCATTTCCATAAAACAAGATTTCATGAAAAAAAAAACTTCATGAAATCTAAGAACTAAATCAAAATAAAAAACATATTATCTTCAAATTGAAGTTTGATGATTTGATTAACTCCGAATGGTTGAATTGTAGGATTTGAGGGCTAAGGGGTAATCAATTTAGGGAGAAGGAAATATGTGTGGGTGTTTGAGAGATGTGGGGTGAGAGGTAAAGGATGTTTAGGGAAGTTTGTAATTATTGGTAAGCGTATTAAGTAAAAATTGGTTTTTAAATTTTCAATGTTGGATGTAGAGAAAAATAATTAAGTAAAAAACAAGCTTTGCTCACATTTACATAAAGGTGTGTATAAATACTAATTCTTTTTTTTATTTTTTTCTTTGATTTTATTTATCTTCTATTTTGATATATTTAAATTTAATGTTATTCAATCGACTTTATTATTGTTATCAGCTTGAGTTCCTTTTGGTTTTTTGAAGTTTACATTCTTATTGTTTTATGACCTGAATTGCAGGTGATGAATTTAAAAAGAAGTTAGAAAATGTAGGCAAACAATCTAAGTCATCTAAGGATGAAGACTTTTGATGTAAGAACTCAATGCACTAAAATCTAATGATTGCAATTGTGTGAAAACCTTGTAACAGCCAATTACGAATTATGTTGGTAAAGTATTAAATTTTTAATTTTAATGATTAGAATTTGAATCCTATAACTCCTAAGTATTAAAAAAAAATTACGACAATCCTACCTTGATAATAAGCAATGGGATTTGAGTGGTTTCATAGACTTGATATTGGGATAAAGTAATATTGAAACTGTTATTAAACTAGAGGATGATGAGGACCATGGAGTTTTTTTATCTATAATTAATATCCTTTACGTAGGAAAATACAAGGTTGAAAAGTTATTCAAAGCAAAACATAAAATGCTTTTGGGTGCTTCTATTTGCATTCCTATTTTTTCTCTTCACATCCAACCTTTTTTTTTTCAAATTTGTCTTTATATAAAATTACTTAATTATTTTTTTCTCAATTTTAAAGTCTTCAAATAGGCATGTCTAGTAAATTTGATAACTTATCAAATATGTATATTTAGTAACTTATCAGATTATCTAATTTTCTTATACAATAAATTTAAAAAAGTTATATTTAGGGTTTAAGAAAAACTTTAGTTGAGAAAAAAAAATCTCCTATCTTGAAGAATTTTCACAATATTGCAAAGAAAAAACACAATTTGTTTTAATTATTGTAAGCTCATTTATAAATTGATAAAAACATTTATGTATGTGAGTCATTAGATTTCTTCTTAATTTCAACAATCTAATATAGAAACTTTTAAAAACTTATGCATTTGCAAGTCCAAAAGCTTTTAAAAGCTTTCAAATTTGTAAATTTGAAAACTTAAAAGTGAAAAAGGGTTTAAGAAAAGGTAATTAAATAAATTTATTTAAAAATAATTTTTAAAAAAAAGTATGAAGAAAAAAATTGGATGCAAATAGAAGCTCCCAATGGATATTAAAGCACTATAATGCTTTTTCTAAATATATAAGCATTTATTTGTTGACATGTGTCTAATTATGGTAATAACTATTTTATCTATTTTATATTATATAATAATCATTTAATCCTTTGAATATTATGAGTTGATCATTGTACTTCTTATTAAAATATAAATAATTAAAAATTAAAAATATTATTGAATATTATAAATTGATCATTTCATCCTTTATCAAAATAAAAATAATTTAAAACGTAAATAATAAAATATTAAAAACAACATATGAAAAATAAAGCAAAAACAAAAAAAAGCCCAAAAAATCCCATTACCCCAACCACCATCAATCACAGTACTAAAAACGAAAAAACAAAAAATCTACCAAAGTTTCATCATCCAAACCCTCAACGACTCTCACAACCATTAGCCACTACCACACTAACTTAAGCAGCCAATTAAAAAGTGCGACCATCATAGAAGAAAGTTAAACCAAGACCTAATACCTAGCCAAGAAAAAAATGTAGATAAAACATAACGAAAAAACCAACAACTAGCATCATTCTTTTAACAAAGGAAATCACACGAGCAAAAAAAAAAACAACCATAAGAAAAACAAAACAAAATAGATATAAGGAGTTTTGGTTTTTAGGAGATTGGGGATGTTTCAAGGCTTGAAATTTAAAAGAAAAAAATGGCAAGGGATATGGATAAATATAGTAGAAAAGTGTGGCTATTTGGACAAATAAAGGTAGGTGTTTTAAAGGTTTTTAGATCGCAGCTTGGATTATAGATCTAGACTTTTAGGTACTTATTTTGAAAAACTCGAAGTTAGAACAATAACAAGAAGATTGAAAAGGAGTTTATGGTAAAATTTTGGGATGAAAAAGAGATTGACAGACAATTTTTGACAATTGAGAATCACTTAAAGAGAAGTTAAAATTTTAGTGAGAGGAAAAAAAGGAAAAATGAAACAAGAAAAAGATTGCCTTTTACGTGATAAGAAAACAGACCATTGATCTGGTGAGTTATGATTGATTCGACTCGATTCAAAAATTTTTAAATGAGATTTTGAGAAGATTTAGTATTTTTGGGTCATCAAATTTTGGATTTTTTAAAAAATAATTTATAATTTTATTTTAATAAAATAGATAATAAAAAGATTTTATTTATACTACTATTTTATATTATAAAAACAAATTAAAGTATAAAATTATGCTTAACTAAGATTAAGTAATGCATTTAAAATATTTTTATTTTATATGTAATATACTTATTGTATAAAAAAAACTATGTAATGCATGAAAATTATATTTATGTTTAACTTTTTTTTATTAAATTTTGAAAGATGAAGTTTTTTACTATTTAAAACAGATTAACTTATTAACTCAAGTGTAGTTAGAGTAACAAACTAATGGATAACCAAAGGCATGACTTACTTTATGAAGTCGATATTTTTTAATTAGCTTTACTTTTTAATCATTTACTCATTTTTTTCTTGTATATAAAAAATTTAGGATGAGAGGAAACTTTTTCATTCCAAGTCCATAGCAGACAATAGGTTGTAAAAAATTTTTTCACTAAATTTACAAATCATTTAAAAAATAAGACTCATTTTATTGATTTCAATAAATATGATTTTACTTTTCATTGGTTGCTTTTACTATATAATGAATTTTGAGGAAGCATAAAAGCAATAAAACAATAAATAAGCAAGCCAAATTAAATGTGCTAAACAATTCTTTTTTTTTTTAAGATGATATTTGGCTCGGGAGAAAGTTAGTTTACCTTTTGAAATTTTATTTTTCATAATCTAATTTTTTAATTTGGTTCACGGTATCTGAATCTTAAGAAGATTTTAAAATTCCCAACAATGTCAAAATGCCTGAAATAAGAAATCCACTTTTCTTTGAATTTTTTAAGATTTTTAGAAGAAAGTAAATTTTATCTCACTTTTGACCTCAATAATAAATTTTTTTTTATCTATTTTACCCTTAAAAATTAACATAATTACATGATAAATTGAGATACATTATAGATGAAAAGTTGCATTCAAAGTCACATGATTGAAAATAGAATACGTAATAAATTATATATAATAAAAATAATGCTTATAAAAGAACAAATGTAGTGAATTACTATAAATTTAAGATTTTGAATTTTTTCAATTTTCAAAAGTACTATGTTTTTAACATATAAGACGTAGTTAATCAACTAAAATAATAACAAAATAAATTAGATATTTTCAATGTCAATGACGTTTCACCAAAATGTAGTAATAAATATAATATTATAATAGAATATTGATGATACTTTTAAGTAAATGTTTTATATAAAAATGTAATATTTTATAAATAAATTTTTTTTATATATCAGTAACTACGTTTTTTATTATGAAATCAGTCATGATAAATTGTAGTTTTTTATTTTTATAAGCACTACTTTTTTTATATATAAAGCGTAGTTAATCATTTAAAAAAGAAATTTGATATTTTCAATATTAACAATATATCTTAGAATGGAGACATAGTAATAGATATAATATTTATAATAGAATATTTAGATTTTTTTAATTAAGTTTTTTATGTCAAAACATAGTGTTTGATAAATATAAATTTTTTTTAATATCAATAACTACTTTTTTTGTTATAAAAACGTAATAATTGATAAATGTAGTAATTGATCACCTAAAAGTATAGTAACTAACAATGATTATGTTTTTTAGTTTCACAACTTTGTGTAATAGGTAAAAATAACAAAATAAATTGACATTTGAACAAATATAAATCACATTTCCTTTTTAAACATTCCAAAAGCTCTAGTTAACCCTAAATCTCATCCTTTTTGTTTTTACACAACATCACCTTCAATATTGTGATTCATCATTGTGAAATCCATTTTAGCTTATCAATGTTCTTCAAACATGATGTGCAACAAATATTCTTCTTCATATTTGGTTAAGATAGAATATGTTCTTT